TTTAGTCACATATTTCATGCTGCCAGTACATAAAGTATTGACTTGCATAATTCCATCTCCTGTCTCCTTCTCATTTTCCTGTTTTACCTACTAAGCCTTTTTCCCAGTGTCCCTAGCTCTTTTGTTTCACTGTATATGGAAAGCATATTAGGATAGCTGTTACCATTCTATGACTTCTCATTATAGGGTCTCCCAATAATTTTGAGCTCTTTATTTGTAAAATGGTATAAGCCATTTTACAGGTGACATCAGGATTCTATTCAGTAAATGAAAGCATATGGAACACCAAAGCACTTTACAAATTGGGTTGAATGGCATACTCAAAACTTTTAATTTGTAGTCCATTTTTATTTGATTGCATTGTGGGTCACAGTGATTACGCTCATGCTACGAGAAATCCTAAGGCAAATAAATTCCAGCTTGAAAGAACTCTTGAGTTCTACCCTGCGGTGGCCCATCAATACAGAATATTGCCGATTCAACTGCTGTCGGTTTACTGTACAGGTGCTTATAACAGGTATTTCCGTAGGCCTGATAGGAAGACTGATTGTATATAGAGACAGGACCTAGTTATTTGGAAATGTGCTGACATCTTTCAGCCTGCTGTCGCATAACGGTATTGTTACAGTAGTGTCTCACACTACTGGCACACACGGAGACGCGGTGACTTGAGGAAAACAGAGCCAGGCTGGTGTTTTCATGGCGTATTTCTCAAAAGAGTGTATGCAGCTGTGTTATCATGTCGTTCCATCCGACTCGGAGTTGCTGGGTCTCTACTTGCCCATCAGTTGGAATATTTTCCTCCTGTAGCAGTACATGTTTTGGGGGCAATAGTATCTCTTCTGTCTTTGTGTAAACATCATCTGGGCTTGGGTGGTTTTGGAATGGGGATCTTCCCCATAAGAAATTTAGAGATCTTGACTTAAAAGCTTGAGAAATAGTTGAATATTATTCTTACACTGCCAACTTGGAACATGCCTAACCCTGGTGATACCTAGGAGTACCCTCTCATCCAAGGAGAAAAACCCTGAAAAAAAGGTGGTTCATTTGGAAGGCTTAGAGCCTAGCTGCCTCCCTCTGAGCAGCTCTCCTCAAGGTGGTCGAGGGAGCTGCCTGGGGATTTTTTTTTTTTTTTTTAAGATTTATTTATTTAGGAACTCCCTGGTGGTGCAAGGGGTTAAGACACAACCTACAGGGCCTCCCGGTGGCACAGCGGTTGAGCACTGGGTTGCGAAGCTGCCCGCAGCCTCTGCGGCGCCGGTTCGATCCCCGGCTGCTCCCTGGCCACCGGAGGAGGGTCCCACATGGCGCGCAGACCTCTCCTGCCGCCCGCTGCTCCCCTCAGCAGTGTACTTCGGTCCTTCTGCCTGCTCTGCTCCCTGCTGTGGCTCCGGTGAATTCTCTCACCCTCCGCGCTTCTGACTGTACCCAGTGCATGTACAAACAAAACAATCAAACAAACAAAAAAATAAAATAAAAAAGACATGCCTCTATTAAAAAAAATTTTTTTTATTAAAAAAAAAAAGACAACCTACAAAGCTATCCGCAGCCTCTACAGGACAAGTTCGATCCCCTAGCCGGCCAGGGAGCTACCCACATGGCACAGCAGACCTCTCCTGACTCACCCGCTGCTCCCCTCAGCAGTGTACTTTGGTTGTTCTGCCTGTTCTGTTCCCAACTCTATCTCTGGTGAATCCTCTCACCCCCTGCACCTCTGGCCTATACCCCAGCTCTTGTATGCATAAATAAATACATCTTTTTTTTTTTAAGATTTTTTTTTTTTTTAAGATTTATTTATTCACCAGAGACAAAATGGGGATCAGAACAGGCGTACTGACCGAAGTACACTGCTAAGGGGAGCAGCAGGCGAGACAGGAGAGGTCTACTGCGCCATGTGGGAGCTCCCTGGCCAGCAGGGATTGAACTCGTGCTGCAGAGGCTGTGGATAACTTCACAATGCTGGGCTTAACAACCCTTGCACCACCAGGGAGGCCCTACCTGGGAATTTTAATTTGACAGTATTAACAGAGCCTAAGGGAGTCATCTAAGATTGATTCTGGGATCATGTCCCAGAAATAGGCCTACCAAAAATGGAAGTACCATTCTGATGTGAGACAAGCTCAGCACCCCAGAGTCATTTATCAGGAGAAAGTCTGAGTTCTACCCTGCGGTACCTATACCTATGAGGTCTGGAAAGCCAGGGTTCAGAAGAGAAGGAATAACTCTACCATTCTGAGATTAGGTTTGTTAAAAGGATTGGGCATCAACATACCATAGATACACATACCAAGCTGATTATATGTGTATGTGATAGAAGTACAGTGGTCCTTGTGGAGGTTGTGAGTGATGCATCTAGGGGCAGAGATTAAAGGTGGAAGAAAGGACTAGCCACCCATCAACTGTAAGGAAGGAATGATATTTAGAAACTAAAATTTGGTTTGTGAAGGTGCTAAGAAGGGTATTCCTAGCATTGAAGGGAGAGCTCTCTGAGACCCAAAAGACCACTTAGCAGAGGATGTTAAAAATCTACTCTGGTTCTAAGAAGGAGTGATATGGCTAACTGCAGTGCTGGACAATGTGGAATGAGACCTATATCCAGAGTCCAGGCAATAGTTTGCCCTCTGACCACAGGAGGGTGACCTGGTTCCCAGGTGTGAACAGAGAGTACTCTCCTACTTAAGTAGATATATTCATTCAGACATTTTTTAAACAGTAAAGATAAAGTCAGAAGCCTTTCCCGTCAGCTCGGATTTTGCCTAAAACCCAGCATGGTGTTCCTTACCTACCAAACCAAATGCAGTGTTGTCTCCATGTTTTCCACAAAGGAGCAGACTGATGAGATAAACTAAGGAAATGTTTGTGTGGAAATGTATTACAAAATGTTACTCAATCTTGTTTTTCCATGTCTTTCCTATATGCCTTGGTGGAATGTTATTTACAATTTGATTTCTCCTCTTGTTCATCCACTTTCTTTCCTATAAAATTTTTTATAATTAAAAACTTAATAGCTACAAAGTTATTTTTTATTTCATATTTTGAACTAGGTATCTATTTATTAAATATGAAGATTGAGAAACAATTTAAATTGTTTTTAAGTATACCTTCCAACTTCAGATTTGATTCTTACAAAAGTGTTTTACTATTTTAGACAGTTTTCCATTCAAATGTATCACGGTAAATCATAATACTGAAAGTGGGCTACCTCTTTGGAAAGTGGGTAGTAGAATTAATCTTGCACTCTCTTGTGTTTTTCCCATCACAGGTGGAGTTGGCTTTGTGGGACACAGCTGGGCAGGAAGATTATGATCGCTTGAGGCCCCTCTCCTACCCAGACACTGATGTTATACTGATGTGTTTCTCTATTGACAGCCCTGATAGTTTAGGTGAGTGACGCTGTATGTAGAGTGATGATTTCACTGCTCTGTGCCTAACTCACACCTGGTTTCTCACCTTCTGGGCATCAGGTGGCAAAAGAGTAGACATTAGTTTCAAAGAAGGAATCCTCAATGGCCGAAGTCACACAGCCCTGGGACTATAGAACCTGGGTTTTGGGTCCCTTTTCTTTCTTTTCTTCTTTTTTTTTTTTTAAAGATTTATTTATTCATTTATACAAGAACCGGGGAATAGGCCAGATGCGCAGGAGGGTGAGAGGATTCACCAGAGACAAAGCAGGGTATAGAATAGGCAAACTGATGAAATACACAGCAGGGAGGCCTGCCAAGGGCCTTTTAAAAGTTTTATATTGGGGGGGTCTCCCTGGTGGCCCAGGAGTTAAAGACAGCGCTATCAAGTTATCGCCAGCCACTGCATATGAGTTTGATGCCCTGCCAGGGAGCTGACCCACATAGCGCAGCAGACCTCCTGTCTAGCCCACTGTTCCCCTCAACAATGTATTGCAGTAGGGCTTCCCCGGTGGCGCAGTGGTTGAGCGCTGGGTTGCGAAGCTGCCGGCGACCTCGCAGTAGATCTGCCTGTTCTGCTCCCCACTCTGTCTCTGAGTCCGCTCACCCCTTACTCCTCTACCCTGGACCCCAGTTCCTATATGCATAAATAAATACTTTTTAAAAAAAATTTTATCTTGGCTAGGGAGTAGGGTGGGAATCCCAGTAGTAGTTTTACTCCAATACAATGTGCTATGGGAACTCAAAAGTCTGTATTAAGAATGAAAATGAAGCACCTCCCTGGTGGTGCAAGGGGTTAAGACGCAACCTATGAAGCTTTCCGCAGCCACTGCAGCACAAGTTCAATCCTCGGCCAGGGAGCTACCCACATGGCGCAGCAGACCTTTCCTGCTGCACCTGCTGCTCCCCTCAGGAGTGTATTTCAGTCAATCTGCCTGTTCTGTTCCCTACTCTGTCTCTGGTGGATCCTCTTACCCCCCACATCTCTGGCCTGTACCCCAGCTCTTGTATGCATAAATAAATAAATCTTTTAAAAAAAGGAACTTCTGTAAAAGACCAAATAATATTTTAGATTGTGTTGTCTATGTTCTCTGTTACCATTGCAGCATGAAACAGCCATAGAAAATAAATGAAGGAGCTTCACTGTGTTCCAGTTAAACTTATAAAAATAAACTCCAGACAAGATTTTATTTGCTAACCCCAATCTAGATTATGTATTCCTTTTCTGTGGCTTTCTGCAATTTCCAAAGGCCCTCCCAAAAAGCTCTGTAAACCCATGTAAAATGACATACCCTAATGTGATCAGACTACTTTAGGGGTATAGAAATTACAGGTAATTGCCATCATTGAATTAAAAAGTAAGAAATTAAAGTTTTAAAATTTTTTATGATATTATAAACCAATGATAAATCAGTAAAATTTAATTTAAAACAATAAAGTCATGGGCCTCCCCCGTGGCTCAGTGGGTTGAGCGCAGCGCTGTGAAGCAGTCTGCAGCCTCTGCAGTGGGGGTTTGATTCCTGGCCAGCCAGGGAGATACCCACATGGCCCTGCAGACCTTTCCTGTGTTGCCCACTGCTCCCCTCAGCAGTGCCTTCGGTCCCTCTGCCTGTTCTGCTCCCTGCTCTGTCTCTGGTGAATCCTCTTACCCTCCTGCACCTCTGGCCTTGTATCCCAGCTCTTGTATAAATAAATGTTAAAAAAAAAAATAAGTCATTCATGAAAAGTAAAGCCAAGACAGAGACAATTCACTGCAGTTTATATATCCTAAAGCAGGGGAGTAGGGAAGATTGTTACAGTAATAATTATTGAGCACCTACTTAAGGAACTTTTATTCTAGATGAAGGGAGGCAGCAGAGTAAAAGCATTAACCACTCCCCTTCCTCCCTGCACACAAGTATCAGTAATTCCAATAATAGTAAATATTACAAATAACCTTTGTAGAGGTAGGTATGGAATAAGCCATATTAGCGGACTCCTTTTAGAGGATGACCATAGGATGGTGTGAGCTTCACTGAAAATGGTGATTTCTGAATAGGTACCTGAAGGAGATAAACAAGGACATCACAATATGCAATAAAATAACCTTTTTGGTGCCAAGTACAAGGTCACTGAGGCAGAGAAAAGAAGGAATGCAGGGCCTCCCCTGGTGGTGCAGCGGTTGAGTGCTGGGCTGTGAGGCTGCCTGCAGCCTCTGCAGTGCCGGTGCAATCCCTGGCCACCAGCGAGGGTCGCACATGGCACGACAGACCTCTCCTGCCGCGCCCGCTGCTCCCTTCAGAAGTGTATTCCGCCAGTCTGCCTGTTTTGTTCCTTGCTCTGTCTCCGGTGAATCCTCTCACCCTCCTACGCTGCTGGCTATACCCAGTGCTTGTATAAATAAATAAATAAATCTTTTTTTTAAAAAAAAGGGAATGCTGTGTAGCCATAGCAGAGGGAGTGGGAATAGGAGTTGGAGAGCCATGTGGATAGTAGTATGGCACTCTCCTTTCATTGTGAGGTGGCAGGTTCAAACAAGGGAACAATGTGACCTTGCTTATATATATATATTTTTAAAAGATTTATTTATTTATACAAGCACTGGGTACAGTCAGAAGCACGGGAGGGTGAGAGAATTCACCAGAGCCAGAGCAGGGAGCAGAGCAGGCAGAAGGACCAAAGTACACTGCTGAGGGGAGCAGTGGGTGGCAGGAGAGGTCTGCGCGCCTTGTGGGACCCTCACCTGGTGGCTGGGGATCGAACCAGCGCTGCAGAGGCTGGGGGCAGCTTACAACCCAACGCTCAATCGCTGTGCCACCGAAGAGGCCCCTTGCTTATCTTTTAAAGTGAATGCTGTCACAGCTGAACTGAAAACTAATAACCACAGGGTGCAGAGATTAGGGCATGTTTCGGCATTATTTGGCTTTTCTGTTAAATACGCTGGCCCTTTTTTTTTTATTTGAAGATTGAGACATTACACTTCTTTGGGAACCCTTTTGTTCCAGAATTGGGCTTTGTGTTTCAAGTTGTCATGCTAGTGATCTAAGGAAGTCTGTAGCTGCTAAAATCATCTCTATACTGATGGGCCCAATATGGTGGATGTGAGAGGTTGAACTGGGGCTGTTCATCCATCATGATGTACTTACACGACCTTTCTAGATGAATGCAGTATTGGCAAGAAGCTACAATTGGTTATCACTCTCAAAAGTCACACGTGAGTGCCTCCCCTGGTGGTGCAGCGGTTGAGCGCTGGGCTGCGAGGCTGCCCGCAGCCTCTGCAATGCCGGTTCATTCCCCAGCTGCCGGCGAGGGTCCCACAAAAAAAAAGTCACACGTGAGCCATGGAAATACCACTTAGTGGTGGCCATGCTGAGGGCTTGTGAACAAAGTGGAGGGAGAACATGCAGATCCCGGGTCAGCTGTGCTCCAGCACGGGGGCTCCTGTGAGCTCTAGTCAGAATCATCTGCTGACAATGACAGGGATGGTCCATGGGCAGCCTCTGTCATGGGGCAGGTGACACCATTACAGAACCACCATGTGTTCAGAATCATTTGTTCCTCCAAGCCTTTCTTTGGGCCCTGCCTCTAGAGTTTCTGAACTCTTTGGTGGGGCTGAGAAAAGCTGCCGATTCTGTGCTTCAGGGTAGGGGCTTAGGTTTTGCTTTTTTGTAGTTTGAAACCAGTGAAATTTCGGGCCTCCCCGGTGGCACAGCGGTTGAGCGCTGGGTTGCAAAGCTGCCCGCAGCCTCTGCGGCGCCGGTTCGATCCCCGGCTTCTCCCCGGCCACCGGAGGAGGGTCCCACATGGCGCGCAGACCTCTCCTGCCGCCCGCTGCTCCCCTCAGCAGTGTACTTCGGTCCTTCTGCCTGCTCTGCTCCCCGCTCTGGCTCTGGTGAATTCTCTCACCCTCCCGCGCTTCTGACTGTACCCAGTGCATGTATAAACAAAACAAACAAACAAACAAAATAAAACATGCCTCTATTAAAAAAAAAAAAAAGAAATATGAAACCAGTGAAATTTCATTAAATGTCCAGCATACTTGTAGTTTATTTGCAGTTTAACTAGGGGTCTTGGAATTCAAGAGAAAATTGTATGTATCCCCAATTATGTACATTTTGCTTCTTTCAGAAAACATCCCAGAAAAATGGACTCCAGAAGTCAAGCATTTCTGTCCCAACGTGCCCATCATCCTGGTTGGGAACAAGAAGGATCTTCGGAATGATGAGCACACAAGGCGGGAGCTGGCCAAAATGAAGCAGGCATGGTCTGGGGCAGGGCTGTCCTCCTGTAGCATTCTTCCAACAGTCCACAGTTGGAGGTTCAGGGAACCCAGTAGAAACCCTCACATGCCAGGCTATTTTGGCATCCTAGAAGTTTCTTCTCATCTGGCCCTCATTGTCTGGGGCCAGCACGCAGGGGTCCCTAAGACTCCCATGTCATATGAGAGAGAACCTCCTGTGAAGTAGAGCTGTGACCTTAAGCACTGCCTGCCTGAGAAAGGATCATCACAACAGTAGTCAGTGCCCCAGTTGGAGGAACTTTGTCAGACTCCGATTTCTCTTTGTAGTTATACCTTGGTATAAGTGAGGCCACAGATAAATAAATGGGTGACAACTGAAGGATCAGGAAATCTGAGGGAAAGGAGTTCAGACAGAGCCCAGATACTTTATAAAGGTGGCGTCTTGGCTTCTGAGAAGTCCCCTAACCCTGAGACGGCTGTCACTGCAGGAGAAGTGCCTTGAGAGAGAGACAGCCTAGCTTCTCCCATTGGGGTTTCTCTTTCAGGGTCAGGGACTCCAGTCCTCTCTGCGCTAACCACAGGAAGACCCATAGCTTACTCTGGATTGACAGCTTGAGTAATTTTGCCCTTGATTCCTCCTCAGTCTTCCAGCAATCCTCTGACTTCTTCCTTTTTTCTCTCTACTTCCCAGAGAAGAACACATTTGAGAGAGAGATTATATTTGGGGTTGGGGGTCACTTCATGGGACAGAACTCAAATTGAGGACTTGCCAACTTTTCAAATAAGTCTTTCAGCGGAATTTGAATATACTGTGCCTATTTACTCTGTATGAAACACTATTAACTGAAAGCACTCTTCTCTCTTGTCAGGAGCCAGTAAAACCTGAAGAAGGCAGAGATATGGCAAACAGGATTGGCGCTTTTGGGTACATGGAATGTTCAGCAAAGACCAAAGATGGAGTGAGAGAGGTTTTTGAAATGGCCACGAGAGCTGCGCTGCAAGCCAGACGTGGGAAGAAAAAATCTGGGTGCCTTGTCTTGTGAAACCCTGCTGCAAGCACAGCCCTCATGCGGTTAATTTTGAAGTGCTGTTTATTAATCTTAGTGTATGATTACTGGCCTTTTTTCATTTATCTATAATTTACCTAAGATTACAAATCAAAGTCATCTTGCTACCAGTATTTAGAAGCCAAACTATGATTAATGATGTTCAACCTGCCTGACCTACCAGGGTCCTTCTGACACTTCTCTAACAGCCCTCTGCACTCCCACCTGATACAACCGGCGCTAATTCAAGGAATTTCTTAACTTTTTGCTTCTTTCTAGAAAGAGAAACAAAAGTTAGTAACTTTTGTGAATTAGGCTGTAACTACTTTATAACTAACATGTCCTGCCTATCATCTGTCAGCTGCAAGGTATGGTGAGTCACCACTTCAGGGCTTTATTCCGTAACAGATTTCATTAGCATAGCTCTGGGGTTGGTATTCAGTTTTTTCAAATGTGCTGGACCAGAAAGACCCAAGTCCATGCAGCTGTGGCAAAGTTACAGTTCTGTGGTTTCATGTTAGTTACCTTATAGTTACTGTGTAATTAGTGCCACTTAATGTATGTTACCAAAAATAAATATATCTACTCCAGATTAGATGTAGTATTTTTTGTATAATTGGATTTGCTAATACCAATGTTTGTCATCTTCACAGAAAGTGTATTGGTTTTTTTAAAAAAAAAAAAAAGTGTATTTGAAAATAAAGTCAGATGAAAAATTCCTTTTTAAAATTCCCGTTTTGTCAGTTTCTCTCATGAAAGATAATGGTCATATCACCCGTTTTGGCCTCACATAATCCCAGCACTCCCTCCCCAGAGCTGGGCTAAGAATGTGGCATAACCTATCTCACCTGGACTGCAAGATCGGGCTCTAGGTCACCGTGATCTCTTCACTGTATCCAGGTTCCCTCCCAGAGGCGCCACCAGTTCTTGGGTGGTACTCAGTTTCTCCTTTCTTCCAGCTGACTGAACTTTATTTCTGTACCAGTTAATTTTTCCAACTAAACAATAAAGGCTTTTTTCTAAACTTCCTGCATCCTGGTGTTTGTGTTACTCTCTCCAGGGCTGGGAGTGGAGGTGGGGGGCGGGCCCTGATGGACTCAGCCTAGTTCACCTTGGAGGGTTCAAGGTACCAGCTTACCCTACCACCCCCACCCCCAGTCTGGGCTTCCTCTTAGTGTAAATGATTATCTTGCATCACTTTCAAGTTCAGAATGGTGGTGAGATAGGGAATGTAGCCTGTTGGGGATACACATGGGGCAATCCAAAGTGCTTGCTTTATCTCAGGAGAGTGCCATTTTTGTTCCTATTTTAAGTGTCTTTTACTTCCATATCTGATCTCTAAAGTTGACCGGGGATTGAGGATGGCCTGAAATTAGCTGGGTCCTCTGAGAGGCCCTGCATGCAGTTGGCCTTTACTCTGGGAAGTCTGAAGCAGACCCTGAGGAGCTCCTCAAAAAAGCCTGTGTGCAGCACTGGGGTGTAAAAGGAGGGAGACTGGTGGTCTTGGACATGAACATGCCCCAGGCAGTCCTAGAATGCAGGAAAATGAGTTAGAGCCCATTTTAGGAGCCTGAGGCTGGCTGTCTCCGCCATTGCCTAACTCCTACAGCCACAGCCTCGTAAGAGACAGAATTTGTCTTGCAGTTGCCACCAACTGCAACCGCCACAGCACACTAACTTGCTGTATACACCTTGCGACAACAGGGCATATGCTGTAAGATTACTAACATGGCATAAGCTGGGAGTGCTGTGTGGCCCGGGGCAGTGCCTACTGCTGTTGCTGGTCAGTCCCGAGCTGGGACCCAAACCCTAACTGAAGAACCTTTGAGAAAACACCGAGGCCTCTTGGGCCCCGGCCCTGGGCGTGGTGACTCAAGCGGTCGCCAGAAGGCCGCCCTTCCTGGGCAGGAGCAGACGTGCCCGCGGCTCCGCTCATTCAGGGCGGTGCCTGCATCCGGCGCGACCGCAGCCCCCCTCCTAGCCGGACATCAGCCGAGGGAAGGCGGAGGCCGGATGAGGCGGGACCACAGAGGGTGGAGCGCCCGGAAAAGTGCCTGGGCCATGTGACCCCCCGCCGCCGGCCTGTTAAAAGCAGGCGCCGCCGGGCCCAGTTGCTTAGTTCGATTCTCGCGTTCTCGCCTGGCGCCATGTCTGCTGCTCAGGTCACCCGGGCCGCTTCTGCGGCCCAGCGCTCCGTGTACTCCTTCTCTGCGCGCCCGCTGGCCGGCGGGGAGCCTATGAGCCTGGGCTCCCTGCAGGGCAAGGTGCTGCTGATTGAGAATGTGGCGTCGCTCTGAGGCACAACGGTCCGGGACTACACCCAGATGAACGAGCTGCAGCAGCGCTTGGGGCCCCAGGGCCTGGTCGTGCTCGGTTTCCCGTGCAACCAGTTCGGACATCAGGTGCGCCTGGCGCGGTGGAGAGGGGTGGGTGTGCCCCACGGGAGGGAGCGCAGGCGCGGTGGCCGCTGGGCTCGGGGAGGCTGGCCACCCATTGCTTCCCTCCGTCGCCCCGGCTGAGATTCATTCAGCTCCACCCCGGAGTACGCGAGAAGGGCAAGGGCTCGCTGACTTATAGTTGTTTGCGGCCAGAAAGGTTTCCCTTCCCCTCGCGGCTCCGGGTTTCAGCCCCATTTACCCCCGCCGCAGGAAAATACCAAGAATGAAGAGATCCTGAATTCTCTCAAGTACGTCCGACCCGGCGGCGGATTCGAGCCCAACTTCATGCTTTTCGAGAAGTGCGAGGTGAATGGCGCGCAGGCACATCCGCTCTTTGCATTTCTGCGGGAGGCTCTCCCGGCGCCCAGTGACGACCCCAAGTCGCTCATGACCGACCCCAAGTTCATCATCTGGTCTCCGGTGTGCCGCAACGACGTATCCTGGAACTTTGAGAAGTTCCTGGTGGGCCGGGACGGTGTGCCTGTGCGCAGGTACAGCCGTCTCTTTCCCACCATCGACATCGAGTCCGACATCCAAGCCCTGTTGTCCCAGGGGTCCGGCAGTGCTTAGGGCGCCCTTCCATCCCTGCTGTTTCTGGCAGTCACAGTGCTGTCCTCGGGGGATTTTATCCATGACGGTGTTTTCTCTAAACCTGTATGGAGAAACACCTGATATCCGGGAAAATCCCCTGAGGTGGGTGCTAACCTTGTCCAGAACAACGCTCCTCACTAATAAAGTGCCAAGTGCAACAGAACTTTGTGCATGTCCTTTGTGAGTGCCAACTGGGGACATTTCCTGTATATTTTCACTGACGTAGTGCTGGGGCTTAAGCCTCCTCCTAGCCACATGATAGGAAGCCTGGCTCCTGTTCCATTGTTTCGCCCTCTGCCAGGACATGCACTGGGGCCACTCCAATGCCGTTAGGAAAGTCCTTTTTAATTTTCTTTTAATTTTTGTGTAGAAGAACTGGGATGTAGGCTAGAGGTGCGGGAGAGGGTGTGTGTGTGTGTGTGTGTGTGTGTAAGGATTCACCAGAGACAGAATGGGAAGCAGAACAGGTGGATCTACTGAAATACACTGCTGTGGGGAACAGTGGGTGAGATGAGAGGGCTGCTGCGCCATATGCGGGTCACCTCCCTGGCTGGGGCTGGTGATAGCACTCAGGTGGTAGCAGTGATAGTGCTAAGACTGAACCCTGAGGTCACGCAGGAGGCCCAGGAAAGCCCTTATTCCAAAAATAGGAAGACAAGTCAAAGACTGATTGCCTAACCCCCATGGTAAGCCTCTCCTTCCTGAGTGTTTGCTGGAAATGCCTTTCACAAAAAGTAACACCCTGGGTTCTTACATTCAGAGAGGCCCACACAACCCATTTTAGGCAGTTTGAAGCTCTTGCAATATTATAAATTCTTTTCCCATTACTATGCTAAATCTTTTGAGTATCCGTGCTCAGTGTTGACATTTGCTCTGAAGCTGCCATTACTAGTTGATACTGCAGGAGGAAGCTAGGAAATGGGCATAGACAGTCAGGAACAGGGTGCCCTAAGCCCCTAAGTCTTTTACAGCCTGATTGAGAAACAACTGCACACCAGGAGGGTGCCCCCACTTCCAATTCAATTAAAATGGAATGTTCAGGGCCTCCCCGGTGGCGCAGTGGCGCAGCAGTTGAGCGCTGGGTTGCAAAGCTGCCAGCAGCCTCTGCAGCAATGGTTCGATCCCAGGCTGCTCCCCGGCCACTGGAGGAGGGTCCCACATGGCGCAGACCTCTCCTGCCGCCCATTGCTCCCCTCAGCAGTGTACTTCGGTCCTTCTGCCTGCTCTGCTCCCTGCTCTGGCTCTGGTGAATTCTCTCACCCTCCCGCACTTCTGACTGTACCCAGTGCTTGTATAAATAAATAAATGAATCAATCAATCAATCTTTAAAAAAAAAAAAAAAAGGAATGTTCAGAATACCAACATAATAGCACAACAGCAACGGACTAAAGCTGGCTGGACCAAAGCTGGTTTCAGAGAAGAAGGCTGGGTAACGGAAAACTCAGTGTGCCTCAGTAGCCTAGGAGACCCCCTCGGGCCCAGCCAATCAATGACACACAAAGCTGAGACACCAAATGGCCAAACCCCCACTCCTTGCCCACTGTACCTACTTGTCACCTCAGTGGCTACACATTCAGGACCCCTCTCCACTCGGGGAGATTTCCTATGCTCCCTACCTGTCTATCACTAAACCTCTTGCTTATCTGTAACTCTGGTCCTGACATTGAATTCTTTAGTTACCAAAGACGAACCGAGGAAGAGCCCACCTAGAGTCTTTGGATGGCCTGCTCCACAAAAGCCCCAATTAAACACCTCTCCTGTCTTCAGAGGAAGAAACCTCACCATGCCTTGCACTTCACTTAGCAGTTGCAGTCATCAAACTCAGGGTAGGTAGGGTCCTATCTTAGAGGCCAGCTGCTGCTTCTCAGGCATGGCTCAAATCCATTCTCTCCATCTGTTGGTCCTGCTGTCAATAATCTTTCTAGACAGACCTGGAACCACTGACTATAATACATAGTACAGTGCACTCTTCAGGGCTTGGATACAACTCTGCTTCTGGGCAGATAAGGACCCAGAGATAGGTTGGCAGTGCCACTCAGTCCAGAATATGGGTCAGAGGCTTTCCGATCCATATTTTTGCTCACATTGACTTTAGAGTTCGTATTTGTGGCTCAAGTCCCTTCTGTGTCTGAAGAAAACATCAAAACCTTTTTCTCCAATCCTAAGCATGAATCTTTGCTGCTGTCCTCCCTTTCAGTGTGCCCTCACATCTTTCAGGAATTAAGCACCTGTTCTGGTGCGCGCGCTCGGGCTCACGCACGTGCTCTCTCCCTCTTTCTCTCTCTTTTTCTCTCTCTCTCAAGATTTATTTTCATTTTATTTATGCATACAAGAACTGGGGTGTATACCAGAGGTGCGGAGGGTGAGAGGATTCACTAGAGACAGAGTGGGGAGCAGAATAGGCAGATGTGCTGAAATACACTGCCGAGGGAGAGCAAGTGGGTGAAACTGGAGAGGTCTACTGTGCCATGTGGCCAGGGATCGAACTCAGATCACAGTGACTGTTGATAGCTTGATAGCACTGAGACTTTAACCCCTGCACCAACCAGGCTGGCCCCTATGGCTCCTCCTTATCATAACTCCCCGTGGCTATGAGGGAGTTCAGCTCTGCAGTTCCTCTAGGTGACCAAGGCAGAACTGTCCCCACTTTAGGTCACAGCCTACCTATACTCCCCTCAGAACTCATTTTGATTGCACTGGCTTCCAGACCAGGGGTTCAGCAGACCAGGCTGCTTCCAGAGTAGGTGAGAGTTGAGGAGGTGAAATGGGATTGGCCTTTCCAGGTTCACAGGGCCTAGCAAATGTTTGTCAATTAATATAAAGAGAACTTTTCACTCAAACAGGGTCAGGGCTTTTTGAGGATCATTTGTAGACATCAAACCTGACTCCTGGAATGGTGGGTAGCAACCTACACATCTGGGTGTATATGCAGGCCATCCGTGACCTCCTTAACCTTGACTTCTCCAAAATCCTTTCTTTAAATCCTGCCACACTCATCAGTGAGTCCTGTACCATGTGTTC